ATACTTAAGACCAGTGCTTTTTTCTGGGGGTACGCATACCCCTAAACATTTTGTAAATCTTTTTACTTTTGTCCATTTGCTGTATTTATTTCTCCCCATTTGAACTATAAAAGAGTGATTGCCTTGAGTCAAAATGAGAGTACCCCTAAATATGTTTTTTTTTTGGGGGGGGAGCACTGTTTAAGACAGGGACATTTTTAAAATCCAGATGGAAGAGCTTGTCAGATCCTCACCCTCCACAAAATCTCTCACTTCTTCATGGGGAGCAAAGATAAGGGAAGCCACACTCAAAGCCCTGCTCTGGGGCCCTATCTGCAATACACATTGAAAGCAATATCATATCCCTTTAAACATTCATAACTTCCACCATTATGGGAACTGCAGTTTGCTATGGGTGCTGAGAGCCATAAAGAGGCTTCAACCCGCCTCACAGAGCTACAAAGGAAGAGGGATTGACTGTTAAACTGCTCTGAGAATTGTAGCTCTGTGAGGGTTCATTTTATTTTATTTTATATTGAAAGTTTTCAGTGAGGAAATTAAGGGAAAGGGGGGAAAAGGAAAAGAACATGAAACTGTGATACTGAAATTGTTGTTAGGCTTTCCTAACAACTCTCAGCAGCCTTAACAAAGGACACTTGGCAGGATTCTCTGAGGAAAGCCATGCCAGTTTCAAGTGGGACCTGAGTTACTGCAGAGGCGGCTTCTGCCATTTTAGCCATGTGAATGAGAAACCTACTCTGTTTTTGATTGGGTGTCAAAGTGCTTTTTACAAAAAAAAAATCCTTTCATCTTTTTGTTATAGCTCTTTACATCAAGGGAAAAAAATGTAAAATAAAATTGACGTGCTGAAAGTGCACTTGACCCTCGCAGGTCAAATAAATATAAAGTTAAAAGAAAGGTATATTCGCTGAGCCTTTGATATTCATTTTGGCGTGCTCAATTGAAATGGATCTGTTCTCAGGCTGTTTTATCAGTATCGCTCCTTATCTGCCTTTTGTTGTATTCAATGGGGGTTCTCTCTGCCTTTTTTTCAAGTGTATCGGTCTCCCTCTCTGGGTATCACAGACTTCTGATGAATTTAGGACTGTGAGGATCAAATTCTATTTGTCTTCCTGCAGGGAAGCAAGACAGGGACTTTGTCATGAAATCGGGAAGCTTAGGCTCTCCACAGATCAAAATCCCTTTGGTTTATATAGCTAGCTGTCAGCCCAGGGATTTCTATAACAAAAGTGGGGAAGAGGAGGGGGAGAACGGGGACTTCAATTGCTCCAGTGTGTTTCTGAGCACAATTCAAAGTGTTGGTGCTGACCTCGGCCCAGTATACCTGAAGGAGCATCTCCACCCCCATCACCCCCATTGTTCAGCCCAGACACTGAGGTCCTTTTCTGAGGGCCTTCTGGCGGTTCCCTCACTGCAAGAAGCGAAGTTACAGGGAACCAGGCAGAGGGCCTTCTCGGTAATGGCGCCCACCCTGTGGAATGCCCTCCCTTCAGATGTCAAGGAAAGAAACAACTGTCTGAGTTTTAGAAGACATCTGAAGGCAGCCCTGCATTGGGAAGTTTTTAATGTTTGATGTTTTAGTATGTTTCTATATATATAGAGTGGCTGGGGAAACCCAGCCAGATGGGCGGGATATAAATAAAATTATTATTATTATTATTATTATTATTATTATTATTATTATTGAATGACACCCTAAATAGGAATGTGAAGTCCAAAAGAGAGCACACTTTTTCTGTTTTGGCTTCATTTGAATGCTAGCAAGAGTGATTCTCCTAGTTGAGAAACCTCGACAGTTCATCAAAAAAGCTTCTGCACAATTTAAACTAATTATCAACACATCTGTCAAGAGGAAGACCACAATCTGCTTTGGATGTCAACAGAACTGCCCTCAAGTTGAAGTGCTTTGAGGACATATATGGATACCACACAGAGAAATCTCATCTCCCCCAAGCTTTTTGCAAAAGCTACCTTCATGTGTTACTCAATGGTGTGTGGGTGCTTTTTGTGGTTGTTCTGATTGTTGTTGTAGGAATAAGAATTGTTGTTGTTGTTGTTGTTGTTGGCAGTAGTAGGAGTAGTAGTAGTGGTGGTGGTAATAGGTAGCATACCTTCCAACATTTCTCCACTGAAAATGGGGGTGTCCTATGCCATAATAATAATAATAATAACAATAACAATAATAATTTTATTATTTATACCCTGCCCATCCAACTGGGTTGCCCCAGCCACTATAGGTGGATTCCAACATTTTTTAAAGAAACCTTCCATATACAGGGCTGCCTTCAGATGTCTTCTAAAGGTTGTAGAGTTACTTATCTCCATGGCTCGAGGGTCAGATAACTCCTTCCCTTCCAACATTTCTCTGATGAAAATAGGGATTTCCTAAAGAAAAGCGGGACATTCCGGGATCAAATCAGAAACTGGGATGCCTTCTGTAAATCCAGGACTGTCTCTGGAAAATAGGGATACTTGGAAAGTTTGAGATAGGGCTTATTGGTAGTGGTGTCCTGACAATGGAAAGCTCTCCCCTTCAGGGAGGTAATAATAGTAATAATAGTAATAATAGTAATAATAGTAATAATAGTAATAATTTATTTATACCTCGCTCATCTGGGCAGCTCCCAACAAAATACTAAAAACATGATAAAAGATCAAAGATTAAAAACTGCCCGAAACAGGGCTGCTTTCAGATGTCTTCTAAAAGTCAGATAGTTGTTTATTTCCTTAACATCTGATGGGGGGGGGTGTTCCACAGGGCGGGCGCCACCACTGAGAAGGCCCTCTGCCTGGTTCCCTGTAGCTTCACTTCTCACAATGAGGGAACCACCAGAAGATCCAAGCTGGACGGCGGGAATGGAGATGCTCCTTCAGGTATACTGTGCTGAGGCCGTTTAGGGCTTTAAAGGTCAGCACCAACACTTTGAATTGTGCTCGGAAACATACTGGGCACTGAGGCTGGTAACTTTTCTGGCAGCAGCAGAAGACTATCTTCTTTTGCAAGCAACCTAAACAAACTATGGTGGCTGTTGTTGTTTAGTCGTTTAGTCGTGTCCGACTCTTCGTGACCCCATGGACCAGAGCACAACAGGCACTTCTGTCTTCCACTGCCTCCCGCAGTTTGGTCAAACTCATGCTGGTAGCTTCGAGAACACTGTCCAACCATCTCATTTTCTGTCGTCCCCTTCTCCTTGTGCCCTCAATCTTTCCCAACATCAGGGTCTTTTCCAGGGAGTCTTCTCTTCTCAAGAGGTGGCCAAAGTATTGGAGCCTCAGCTTCAGAATCTGTCCTTCCAGTGAGCACTCAGGGCTAATTTCCTTAAGAATGGATAGGTTTGATCTTCTTGCAGTCCATGGGACTCTCAAGAGCACCAGACCATAATTCAAAAGCATCAATTCTTCGGCCTTCTTTATGGTCCAGCTCTCACTTCCATACACCACTACTGGGAAAACCATAGCTTTTAACTATATGGACTTTTGTTGGCAAGGTGATTTCTCTGCTTTTTAAGATGCTTATATAATATCCTTTGCATTGTCTATATCCCTATCTAGTATGTGATGTCAGCTAATGTTAATTGATTTTAGGAGGCAGTCTACCAGGTAGTGTGTGTGTTTTCCCTCCCCTCAGAAGCCCCACTGATATGAAAGAAGGCTGAACATCTGCTTAGCAGAGAGTACTGAACAGCTGTTTAAACAAACTATGGATTGCTGCATTCAATCATAAGCCAAACGATTTACTTTTGAAATGAGGCATGCTACAGTCATGCAGTTCAGCGGTAGCTAAATTAAGAATGCCTTATTAAAAGACCCGGAATTGGTGATAGCAGGAAAAGGGATGCTTAGCTTTCTCCCAACCACCCTGAAATAGTTCTTATTGTGTTTAGTTTTGTGCTGTGCATTCAGTCATCATGTGATGGGGATCAAGGACAACATGACTGCAAAACCTGACTCCAAATGGAACCCAGTGAGTTTGGCTGCAGCCTGATGATTATCGGCAGGCTCTTCCACTGAGGACACCACAGGGTTGTGGAATGTGGTGAGATATGAGCATCTCCATTCACTGTCTCCCGGAGACCTGTTTAGACAACCAGTCCTCTGAACTTGAATTTTTGATCTGTTATTTTATTTTATTTTTAAAAACTGTTTAACTGCCATGCTTTTTAACTGACTTGCTTTATTAACTGCCATGCTTTTTAACTGACTTGCTTTAAGTTAAGGGTCTTTTGATGCTCAGAAGGAATTGCCCTTGTGAATTTTAATCACACATGGATTTTATAGTTCTAAATCTGTTAGAAGCCACGTTGGCATATAATCTGGGATATAAATTAATATCAACAACAACAATCTGCAGGAGAAGATGAGCATCTGCTTTGTATGCCACAGATCCCAAACTCAATCCCCGACTCCTCCAGGTGGAGCTGCAATAGACCACTGCAAGCCAATCCACAAAACATGATTAGGTGTTCAATCCAAATAGGTTCATAGCACTCTTGAACCAACCAAAAGGTAAAGGACCCCTGACAGTTAAGTCCAGTTGTGAACAACTCTGGGGTTGCGGCACTTATCTCGCTTTACTGGCCGAGGGAGACGCCGTTTGTCCGCAGACAGTTTTTCTGGGTCATGTGGCCAGCATGACTAAGCCATTTCTGGTGAAACCAGAGCAGCGCACGGAAATGCCATTTACCTTCCTATTTATCTACTTGCACTTTGATGTGATTTAGAACTGCTAGGTTGGCAGGAGCTGGGACCGAGCAGCAGGATCTCACCCCGCCACAGGGATTCGAGCTGCTGACCTTCTGATCGGCAAGCCTTAGATTCAGTGGTTTAGACCACAGTGCCACCTTATCTCAGAGCAAAATCCATTGAATACAACAGGAGTTAAGTCTGAGTAGACATGGTTACAATAGCACTGTAATAATCACTCTAAACATATTTTCATGGATAAAACAACCCACTAATTGCTTCGATTTAACAAAGCCTCAAGCACCCCAATTTCAGAAGGGCCAAAGCTCAGTGGTAGAGTATCTGACTTGCAAGCAGACGGTCCCAGGTTCAATCCCTGGCATCTCCAGGTACAGCTGGGAGAAACTCCTGTCTGAAATCATAGTGAGCTGCTGCAAGTCATCATAGAAAATAGTGAGCTAGGTAGATCAATGGTATGGGATGTGGGTGGTGCTGTGGTCTAAACCACTGAGCCTCTTGGGCTTGCCGATCAGAAGTTTGGTGGTTCAAATCCCCACGACGGGGTGAGCTCCTGTTGCTCTGTCCCAGCTCCTTTCAACCTAGCAGTTCGAAAGCACACCAGTGCAAGTAGATAAATAGGTACCGCTGTGGTGGGAAGGTAAACAGTGTTTCCATGCTCTCTAGTTTCCATCATAATGTTCTTTTGCTCCAGAAGCGGTTTAGTCCTGCTAGCCACATGACCCAGAAAGCTGTCTGTGGACAAATGCCGGCTCCCTCAGCCTGAAAGTGAGATGAGTGTTGCAACCCATAGTCGCCTTTGACTGAACTTAACCATCCAGGGGTCCTTTACCTTTACCTTTTACCTAACTTAATAGGCAGTATCCTATGTTTATATGTTCAAGGAAACAAATACTCTACAGAACCTGTATTTTGCAGCTGATCTGCTGTAACATTGACCTTCTTCCCTCTCAGCACCTGAACTGCTTTTCAGCATCCCTTTAGAAGTTTTTCCTTTTTTTAAATCAGCCTTTGGAAACTTTTTCACACCTACTACTAGTGTTCAGGTCTGCTGACTGAAAAGCTGATGAAAATCGAAGGAGGCACGCAAAAGCACTTTGAGAAACAGAGTGTCTTTTAACGATGGCAAAGTAGGAACTAAAATGAAATCAATCGCTTCGTCTCAGCACTAAGAGTAACAGTTGTCACTTGTTCCCCCCCAAAACAACAATGATGGTGACTTGATAATCCATCCTTAGAAGTCATGATGGGGGGGGGGGGGGAGATGGCCGAGTCTGAGCTACTAAGGGAATTATAGGTTGGTGCCTGCATCATTACTTGTACCCACAAGGCAGCAGAGCATTGGTACAAATCCTGGGACATGGTGCAATGTGTTCCTTGTGGCTCATCACAATCAGGACAGGAGACTGATTAAAACAGCCAGTTGAAAGAACGATGTGGGGGAAGCATAATCGGAAGAACACATCCTCTCACGGGAATGCCAAAGCTACAAACTTAAACTGGCCTAACAGTCATTATCTTCCTCCGGAGGGAGCTGTAGTACTTTGAAGGAAGCTAGGAATCTGTAACAGGCCCATGGGATTTTCTCAATGCCCTTTATTTCCAGGATTTGTTGGCGCAGAACAATGGCAGTTACGTTGGCATAAAACTGACATAAGCGAAGCTAAATGGGGCGTTCTGGTCAGGTCCAAACCCATCCTTGATTGGAACACGTGAGATATCTTTCAGCACCCAAGAAAGTCCATTTTGTGCCCTTTAGCCCTCCACCACATTGTTTAAACCTTCCTGTTTAGGAAGTTTTTGGTCTTTTAGTGGCTGTACCATACCCTTCGCATTGACATAACTGGTACATAATCCTTTTGACTTTATATTTCATTTTATTGTCCCTCCTTAAGAACAACAACACATTTTACTTGCTGGTTTGCTAGCCTTTTGGTTCTCTCCTCTTGTGTTTTAGTTAATTTTTAATGCCTTTTACAATGTCTGATACAGTGGTACCTCGGGTTACATACGCTTCAGGTTACATACGCTTCAGGTTACACACTCCACTAACCCAGAAATAGTGCTTCAGGTTAATAACTTTGCTTCAGGATAAGAACAGCAGCAGCAGGAGGCCCCATTAGCTAAAGTGGTGCTTCAGGTTAAGAACAGTTTCAGGTTAAGAATGGACCTCCGGAACGAATTAAGTACTTAACCTTAGGTACCACTGTATTAGCTGCCTTCAGCTGAACAAGGAAACTTGGGACAGAAGTACTACAAACAGACAGACAGACAGACAGACAAGTGTTTATTGGTTCTGAGTAGAGATGGAGAATCCTAATGAAAATAGAATCAGGGCAGAAATTTGCAATGTTCATGTCTTCATCCCATGTCCAGAATGGAGATCAATCCAGCAAATACAATCAACATTCACTGTTGTTCTTGCTTTCAGTTTGCAAATGATACATAACTGATCGTGCCCCCCTCATTTGCATTTCATTTCCTTTGCACTGAAATGAATAGGATGGGAAAATGTAATGAAATCATAAATTGCATAATTAATTATGTAAGTTACATAATTTCACCGCAGTAGACAGTGAAGCGAATAACATAGTTTTTGGCAGAAAATGAACTGCTGTGGTGTGGAAACAGTGCTGCATGTGATGGAGACAGAGTGAAATGGAAAACCATGTCTTCTTAATTCCCTAGTCCTGAAAGGTAGGAAGGACTTCCTTCCTCCAAGGCTAAATGTTTTGCAGACGCTCAGTGTTTTGCAGACTAGGCCTAGGACCAGGAGGATGTGTAAAACAAATGCAAGAAGCGAAGTGAGAAAGATCATTATTATTATTTATTGCATTTATGTACCGCTGTTCATCCGAACAGCTCAGGTCAGTTTACAACATAAAACAGCATGCTGCATGTTCCTATCAAACCATAATTGCTAAACTATGGCTTAATGTGATGTGAGAACCAAGCTGTGATAAAAACAGCAAGTGCTTATACCACTGCTCACATCTTCAAAACTTGAACTTCAAAATCCAGATAACATGGACAGAAAAGTACTTAGTTTTACAGAACCAGACACATGTCACAGGGGTAATTTGCCTCCCAATTAGTTGCCTCCCAGAACAAGGAGGGCAAGCTTTGCCAAACTATGAGCAGCAAACCATAGGAGAAACCTTGGTTTCAGCTTGTTGTTGTTGTTGTTTAGTCGTTTAGTCGTGTCTGACTCTTCATGACCCCATGGACCAGAGCACGCCAGGCACTCCTGTCTTCCACTGCCTCCCGCAGTTTGGTCAAACTCATGCTTTTAGCTTCGAGAACACTGTCCAACCATCTCGTCCTCTTTCCAGGGAGTCTTCTCTTCTCAGGGCTAATTTCCTTAAGAATGGAGAGGTCTGATCTTCTTGCAGTCCATGGGACTCTCAAGAGTCTCCTCCAGCACCATCATTCAAAAGCATCAATTCTTCGGCGATCAGCCTTCTTTATGGTCCAGCTCTCACTTCCATGCATCACTACTGGGAAAACCAGAGCTTTAACTATACGGACCTTCAGCTTGGGGTTAGAAAAAGCTAAATCATGACCTAAGCAAAACCACAACCTATTGGCGCAGCAGCAAAGCCAAGGAGGAGCCAAGCAGCCACAATTTCCTCTCCAGGTCACCATGTATTCGTGCTAAGCAACAATGTTAGTTTAGTGTGATGTGCAAATCAGGCTATTATGCAGGCCATTAAGATGATCCTGTGCAGTCATTTCCTCAAAATTTGATCTTTGTTTCCCTGAAGCTAGCACGCACATTCCACCCTCCACCGCATTTCAATACATTTTTCCTGATATGGCATCAAGGCAACGTGTCAGAGAAAGCACACAATGAATAATGGATAATGAAACACCCCCTGACACTATTTTGACACAGGGGAAGTATGAGGGTTTGATTGCCATTGTGTTCAGACACTGGCAGTGGAGGAACGAATGTGCTCAGAAGTCAAGCGTGGGACTTTGCATCCACTCAGCATGGCACTCATTAGCATTTCAACTTCTCTATGAAGCAACGGCACCCTTCAGAATAACCCCACCAGCATTGCAGTCATGGCGTATAAAACGCCGATTATGTTTCGGACTCTGTCGTTGACGTAACAAGCTCATCATTAGATCAGCTTTTTCGCAGAGCCTCCTGCACAGCAAAGCAACTTGATTAGGAAAATGTGTTAGCGGTGTTCTGGATGCCAAGAAATTAATGAGCAAGACAAACACAGGCTGTTTTCAGGAAAGCAGTGGTGGGGACTCCTGAGTTTGTGATCTGCCGTTTGCTAGATCAGACTCTTGCCTCCACAGAGGAAGATTAAAAAGAAACACTCCACTTTCTCATGCCTGTTACTGTCTTGATGCTAATAGTCACAGCTGCAAGGGCACTGCCTTTGATCCGCAAGCCAAGTTAGAAGAATATCGGAAGTCATACAGGGAGACACACCAATGATCTTTTTAGAAAGAGAAGAATGGAATCTAAATTAGGGATGTGGAAGAGAGGGGGAAATTGGTTAACATTTTAATCTAACATTTTAATGCGAATCTACCTACTTTGCACTTATTAGAGCATGCACCTGTCTCAAGAGACAATGGAGTGGGCTTCCAGGGGTGAAGTCAAACCTCTGTATTAGCAGCACTGAAGGCAGTGTGTCCTACGCTGCCCAGGTCCTGGGCTACCCAGGCAACAAGGGACCCTTCTTGGCCTTGATGATGTGGTCCAAAGGAAAGCAGAGCGATACATTTGGCACCAGGTCGGCTTCAAGAGTTGCCAGAAGGAGACTTACAAGGCGTCATCCAACCATCTTAGGAACTCCACTCTGGATTTGTGTAGGGTTTGCTCCTTAACCTTTTCTTCTCTTGAAGATATCCCACAAGGCAGCAGAGGTTTAGAATCAGAGTCTTCCTTCTCCTAGATGGGCTACCTTCCCAGGTTGATGAGCTATGCCTGCCTCTCACTTCCCTGTACAGCATATACTGAAACCGCCTTCTTTACCATTGGACCCACTATCAATCTCATCTGCTTAATCCACTGGAGCCTGCAGGGGAGGGTTTGAGACCCACTGGCTCCCCTCACCTGGTTTATCTGGCCAGTTGCTACTATTTTTGTGATACAGTCATACCTCAGGTTAAAGTAGCTTTGGGTTGAGCATTTTCGGGTTGCGCTCCGCAGTGACCCAGAAGTAATGGAACATGTTACTTCTGGGTTTCGCTGCTTGCGCATGTGCAGAAGCACAAAATGACGTCACGCACATGCACAGACGTGGTGAATCGCGACCCGCGCACACACAGAAGCGCAGAGGCGGGTTGCGTTCGCTTCAGGATGCGAACGGGGCTCTGGAACGGATCTGGCTCGCATCCAGAGGT